GCCCTCCACCCAGGTTAAGGGATATGATAGACGCTTAAGCATCTGCAAAGTAAAACAAATATATATATACATATAATTCTTATACACATGTAATTTCCAATTTGTTTACCTTGTTCTTTTTGTCTGCCTGCTTGTCGCTGCTCAGGGCAGCTGCCGTTGCTGCCGCTGCCTGTGCCTGCTGTGCCGCCTCATCGTCCACGCTGAAGCTGACGCTGGAGGTCTTCTTGCGTGCACCGCCGCCGCCAGCGTCGAGGCTTTGGCCGAAAATGGTGCTGCGCGGCGGCGACTCGCTGAAGTGTGTGGGCAAAATGTTCTTTGGCGGCACCCAGTCAGAGCTGAGCACGATGTCCGCATCGCTGTATACTGTTTTCTTTGGTATTGGCTGTATTGTGGGTATGGGCTCGCGTATGTCGATGCCCGAGTCGTAGCACGACTGCTTCGACAGCTGTTCCAGGTGCTCCAAATCGATGCCGGGCAGCACAGCAGCCCCAGCAGGAGCTGGCGCCGCGGCTGCAGCTGCACTAGCACCAGTTGCAGCGGCAGCAGCACCTGTCACGGCCCCCTTGGTGGAGCTGGCCGATGACTGTGGGTCCTGGACCCTAGAGCCGCTGTCGACCGTTACGTTGGACTCGTTGTCGGCCTCGTCATCCGATGATCTTCGGGAAGTAGACAAATAATAGCTGAGTATTTGGCGTATTGGTGCATTAACAGGTAACAGGTGACAGGTACAGTTACAAATACGCGTGCGCGTGTGCAGGTGTGTGTGTTTGTGTGTGCAGGTGTATTTCGGTGTGTTTGTGTTTGTTTACGAAGCACAAATGGTATGGGTATGTATTTTATTTTGAGGAAACGTTGCAGTTTACAAATATGAAAGTAAAAACACAAAAAAAGAAGGTTGTACAACAAATTATTAAAATACAATACATATTTTTCAACTCATTTTCATAACTTAACTTCAATTGAGGGTTAGCAAACAAAATAGTTAAGCACTTTGAAGATGGCGCAGCTGGTTAAATAATATACATACCGATCTTTGCTGGGTATGGCCCAGTGATGATCTAATAGACTTTTGCGTCGCTCCTCAAGCGTGCTGCGTGTATTTGTCAGGCCCAACGTCTTTTTATCCTCATCGTTATCCTGAGCGTCAGTCTTAGCGCTATCTTTGGCATCCGTTGATGTATCCTACAGCATGACAGGAGTATGTTGTATGAGTATTGTATTGGAAGTATAAAATTAATTCTCAGTTTTTCACCTCAACACGTTCGCGCTCAAAGGCCTTGGGAAAGGCATCGCCATCGCGTCCAGTGCTGGAACAAAGTGATTCCTGATCATCGGTGATCTCCAGCGATCCAATTTCAGCTGCAAATGGAAACGTTAATTAGCTTCAATTTCAATTCCTTTACTGCTTGATAAAGATTACCCTCTAAGCGCTGCTTGTTGGCCTCAAGATCTGTCTGCTGCTCGGACAACTCCTTGGAATCCTCCTCAACTAATACTGGTTTGGGATAATAAATTTCGGGCTTCTCGGTTTCGCTGCCCGAGGCAGCCGCACTTGGACCGGCTCCACCGGCCACACGCATATGCGCAATATCATGAAAGATTGCGGCATTTACCACCAGATCCATTGGCGCTATAACGCCATAGCTTTCGGGGCCATGCTCAATGACCAGCGGATCGCTGACGTTCGGATCGAACATGACGGCATTGCGTGTGACCAAAAGAACGCCACCGACAACGCCTTGGCCGTCGGTAATATGGCGTACATTGATCTTAAGAAAACGTTGGGTAATCACCGGATCATCGCTCTTGTCGGCATTCTCCTCCGCCTGGCTGTTGTCGCCGGCATTGCTGCTGTTGCCCACAATGCGCTCAATGTGTCCCGGCTTCGGGGAGCCTGGACGCAGGCCCTCAAGTATATCTGCAAGACAGAATGGAGGACTTAGTACAAATATAATAATAATAACTATAATAAGGCGAATGTTAGACCAGAAGCTATTGCAAAACGCGCAGTTGCCCGATGAGTAGCTGTGATTTTTATCTGACTGATAAGATAAGTGTGCGAAGCCAAAACGGGGCCACATTGATTTATGTGTTATTTAGTTTAAATATAAATCTCAATAAATGCGCGACATGTGATATTCAGCAGACCGCAGCGCAAGAACGAAATGCGAAATGCGCTGCAAATTTGCATTTAACAGTCATCTCCAAAAACAATAATTATCACATCTCTTCGCATAATAAAAGATCGCACAAAGGCCCAAATATATGAATGTATATGAGAGTCCGTCAATAACCTCCGTTTCGCCAAAAGACAGCCGTGTGCATGCTGATGTATGTTTGTTTGTATAGATGACGTCTACTCTGGAGTGGAGTCGAGCGGAGTGAGGTCGGAGGGCTCTCCGTGCACTTAACAGCACTTGCTAACCAATTGGGTGAACGTGCGTGGCCCAAGTGGTAAGAAATTCTTTTTGGTTTTTATTTTATCTATTCGCCCGTCGTTTAGGCCACACAAAACAAATCCAACAGCGCAAACTGTCACGAACACACGACACAGTTAGGGCTACACAGCTCCAGCAGCTGTTCAGCCAGGGCTGCAGCACATTTTTCAATCGTTGCCAAACACTGTTGTACACACTGCGCGCTAGCATTGCCAGCTCATTCAAATGTTCATATTTTTCAAATTCAATTTTCTGTTATTTCTCTTCTCTTCATTTTCGTTGTTGTTGTTGTTAGCATGCGAAATGCAGTTAAGCGGAATGAGAAATAAATAAATTTATGCATGGTTTATGGTATAAGCAAAATTAGAATAACTTGCAAAAATTAGCTTCAATATCATCGCACCAATTGCACCATTTCCAGCAGCGTCGCTTACCTTTCTCCTGCTTGCTCTCATCGCTCGACAATTTGCGTTCAATTGGACTCGATTTGCCGGAGACACTGGCACCGCCTGCGCCCTCAATGGTGCCCGTGGAACTGGTGGAGGCATCATCTTTGGCTGTCTTATCTGGCACCAGCAGCTGCTGGCCGGGATATATGAACGAGCTGTTCAATCGGTTCAAGTGCGTTAGCTCCGATGGTGTCGTATCGAAGCGGGCCGCCACCGAGGTCAGGGTATCGCGATTTCCCACAGTATAGGAAATGGTGGGTATGGTGGGCAATGAAGACTTTTGCCCTGCGAAAAAGAAAACAGTTTCTGTTAATTAACACGATACCAACAAAGAATGATGGAATGAAAAGAAATCACAAAAAATGGTTTTTATTGCGTTTTAGCTTTGATTTTTGTTACTTTGTGGCACTTTTGGCAGCTTTGGTAGCTGATCAAAAATCACAAATTCCTCCTCACTGGGACGCAGGCGTGAAAATATGGCGCCCGTTTCGATGACGTCCTGAGCCAAAGGAGAAAACTGACGGCAGAAGTATATCACAATAAACTCGTTGGCAGCCAATGGCTGAGTTGATTTATTCACATTGATATTCGAACGCCAATAGATCTCCACGAACTCCAACATTGTATTAACTGTGATTTTATTATTTTAAATTTGAATTTTTGTCAATTATTGTAGCGTCTCTTCGCGTAATTGCTTTGTGGCGAGTGTCGCATCACTTTGCGTTTATTGCCCGTCCTTTGCTTCTTTCGCTTTTGTTACTTCTTCGTCTCAGTTGCTGCGGCTTACAATTGTAGCAACAAAAGCAACAGCAACATTAGCAGCGGCGTCGACATCTTCGCTGATTCCAGAAACGGCAGTCCAAAATTTTCGCTGTAATCAGCAGTCTTCCGCTTAGAAGCAACGACGAAATGTAATGCCAGCGTCTTCCAGTGTGAACTTAGCAAATGTTTTTAGCTCTACATACGTATACATATGTATGTATGTACATATGTACAGACGTATGAATGCATAAATGTATGTAAACATGTACATATTTATGCGATTATTATGTACAAATTAGATAACTGTTTGAGAGTTTTTTTTTGTTATCAATCGGCCATGGCTATTTGGTGTGATTCAGTAATTGCTGATAGATACCGTTAATAGTTTTGATTAAAAAAATGGCCAAAAGTGATCGATTTTGTATTGTTTTTGTTTGTTTCGTATTGTTTGCTCTAAACAATAAATATTTTTGTTTATTAGTTTTTCATAAATTGTAAACTTAATCGTATCTCGAAATAAACAAAAACTCGCTTTTTTTATTGCCAGCCGAAATATGAGCACATAATACACACACAGTTTGTAGAAATGTAAGATCCGTTATTCCCTAAAAACCAAAATTTGCCACTTTCCTCTGTTGCTGCTAACAGAGACATATAAACTAACTACAGGCTCTGAGACACAGAGAGACTTGTTAACAGTTTCGCGCGCTGTTAGCTAACATAAAGCTGGTAAAGCTTTTACCAATGTGCTGCCAACTTCGCTACATAGATGGCGCTAGTGTGGGAACAGCGCGCGCTATTTAAATTTTCGAAATTGTTTATACTTACTTGAAAGTTTGTCAACGCTTTCGAAACGCTGCTCAACTTTTGAACGCAACGAATCCAAATCAAAGGGCGCTGCAAGGCCATGATCCACACTGCGCGATTTGCTCCTGTAATAATAATAGAAGAAAGAAGAAAAAACAAAAACACGCGACAAAGCACGAATCGATTGTTAAATTAATTGGCAACAATATAAAGCGATAGCAACTTGTTCGCTGCGATCTTTATCACTTACAAATTTTTCCAGCTTAAATTGTGGCCATAACCAGCTAATAACAATTTATTTATGTGTTTACTTGTGATGTTATTTTTTGTATGTATATAATATAGCTTTTTTTGGTTTTGTTTTGCTTTTTAATCTGGCAATAAAAAAAAAAAAAAAGTGGGACTGACCCAAAATGGACAACGACGCATTTGAAATTGTTTTCGTAAATGTTTTTGGTTTGCTGTAACCTTTACATGCGCTTTCAGGGTTCAACATGGAATTCCATGAAATGAAATACGAATAAGTAAAGTCTAGCAGGCCCTGTCTATGGATGTTTTGCTGTCCAGATTAAGTTCAACCGGAGGCAGGCATATATTCGAGAGTTGCTTGATATTGTCGGAACAATTATGGAGGAATATACACGTGAGCCGTGCCCCTTTCGCATCGTCGAGGATTGTGGCGGCGCCTTCACCATGGGCGCTGTGGGCGGCGCCATATTTCAGGCCATCAAAGGATTTCGCAATGCGCCCTGTGGTCTGCACCGTCGTCTCGCCGGCGCCTTAGGCGCCATGCGTTCCCGTTCGGCTCTAGTGGGTGGCAGCTTTGCCGTGTGGGGCGGCACATTCAGTGCCATCGACTGCAGCCTGGTCTATGCGCGCGGCAAGGAGGATCCATGGAATTCTATAATAAGCGGCGCAGCGACTGGCGGCGTTTTAGCCGCGCGTGGCGGTAAGTTTTCAATGCAAATTTAATGTATATTTAATATCATCTCGCGTCCATTTTGAAATTTGTAGGCCTTACCGCCATGCTGAGCAGCGCCTTGGTGGGCGGGGTGCTGTTGGCTTTGATCGAGGGCGCTGGCATTGCCATGTCGCACTATACGGCCGATAACTATCGCCAGATATCGGTGCTGGAGCGCATGCAGCATTACAATGAACGCCAACTGCGTCAGCAGCAACAGCAGCAGCAGCAGCTATCCAGCTTCTATGCGGATCCAAACGAGGCGAGCTTAATTCAATGCATTCCATTTATTATTTCATTCCGTCTCAATTTTAATTTTTTGTTGTTAAATTTTTGTTTTCTTTTTTTTACAGGGCAACTCATTGCCGGCTTAGAAAATCCGCTTCATCATCGATCTATAGGCGGCACGTCCATCGAATATAAATGTTGAAAATCAGATTTTGTGTCTTGTGAAGTCATTGGAGGGGGCCTACGGGCGGCGGCGTCTGGCAAATGCCTCGAAATTGAATTCAAACACAATTGCAAACACATTCAATTTCATTAAAATTCATTTGCCGTGCATTTCGAGCCTTAGCTACTTTTTTTATATGTATATTTTTTTTATTTATTTATTTAGAATATTCTTAACTTTTTTTGATGACGACGTAGATATGTTATATTGTATTGCGGCGTGCGTGTGTGCTTCCTAGCGCCATGTTTGTAGCTAGCCTTATACAGACGGCATGTGGCTAACTTTGGACAGCCGCCTCGATTTTTAATAGTTCCTACATACTTATAGATACATACATATATTTATATATATTTTTAATAGTTCCTACATACATATGTGCATATCATATATAATGATATCATTTGCAAGAGTTATCAATATTTCAAACTATTTATCTTTGGGAGGCTCAATTTCGTCAGTTTTCTGCCAGAGCTTAAAAAGCCTGTTTGGAAGGGATTTGAGTGTCCTTCAGGCGAAGAAATGACTGACTCACAAATACCCTGTGCTGATTTATTTATTTTATATTTTTGTACCAAAGAAAGTTTTTTTATCAAGACTAAAGGATAACATTACTGGAATTTTAGCTCATAGACCTATCCACTCAAACGATATAAACTAAAGAGGATTTTTAAAAATTCAAATTTTAGCTATTTATAATTTGCAACTTCCCGAGTCAACTCATTCTTCCTGAAATCCAGAGATCTATTAATCTAACAGTTTCATACGTGTTCCCAGTACCATAATAGCCTGTTGTAAGCCCTACAATATTTACAGGGTATTCGAAATGTAATTTCCGCCTGCGCACACTGTCATCCGTTAAGGAAAAAGCCGATTTTCATTTGATTTTCGACACAAGAAATTGAATAGCTGATTGACAGGCAGAAGAACTGCCAATAAACACTATATACACATATATATATAGATAGATGATATCTTTTCGAATTGAGCACATTCATAACTCTGTTTCAGTTTTGGGTTCTCTTTTGTTAAATTGATTAAAAATAAAACCAAATGGAAATTAATTTGCGCATGTCTCCGCAAACTGTGATAAACGTAATTGAATATCAATGATAAAATGATATCTATATATGGGGTTATATGAGTATATATATGTATATGCACATGAATGTATTTATACATTCATACAATTCTAGCATTTATATGCGTAAGGGCAGCTGAGAGAGCTTATTGTTTGTAGATAAACAGAAATGTATTATTTGTTTTATGCCTTATTATTTATCGCAATTTCTGCTATTTTGCATGTTTCAATTTTTAATTAAATTGCGCAGCTGAAATATTTCACAAATCAAATAAACTGCACCCATTCAGTTAGCTCGCATAATAACTGGATCTACCATATACAATGTATGCATAAGTATATAGAACTCTGTTTGATTTGTAAATGCCAATATTAATTACACAGCTCAACAGAATCGCGTAACCAAGTATTAGACTCTGTAGTCGAATGTATAGAATAGCTTTATATTGATAAATTAACATAGGGTTAACATTTTTGTTTCTTTCTGTAAATACTATTTAAATTTAACACTCTTGTTAAATTTTTCGAATATCTTCTTTTTTAACTGAGATATTATAGTAAATAAAAATGGATATAAATAGAAGAAGAAATGGCAACCAAACATTAGAAACTTTTCAGTAAATTCCACAGATTTTTACTGTCAATTTCAGTAAGGTTTCGTGAGCTAGATATACAGTTTTCAAAAGTCGTAATTGTATTTTTTAATAAGACACATTTATGCCCTTATCTTACAGAATCTCATCTCTTCCACATAAATAATCACATCAGTAAAACTCTAATCTTGAAGAACATCTAAAAAGATGTAGACAGATGTTTTTTGTTTATGGGTTTACCTTGTTAAAGACCTTTCAAAGAGTATAGACTAACTCTGGGTAACTCAAGATTTGCTGGCCTGTGTGAGTCTTTATAGGTCTCTTAGGCATTGTTATTATTTCTTAAGTTGAGGGCGAGCTAGGAATTTCATTTGCACAGTTGTTTCGATTCCAGCTAAAATACGATCACATGATTAAATAGCTTTTATATTCTCTATTAATATTTGTTATTAAATAAACTTTTGAGTGAGTACAGTAAACACATTTTTTGTGGCACGCCATAAGCATGGAATACGTTTCTCGTTTCATATTTGAGGCTTGTTCTGTATACAAATTGGCAAATAGAATTTGTAGAATACATTCTAGACATTGAGAATATTCTTAGCTGTATCTTATCAATGATTGCTCATGATATTTCAAAACGAAAAACCAGGTAGCTGCATAGCTGGCTTAAAGCGTTTTGACTTTGATAATGACAAGTGCCAAGGAAGGTTGAATGCAGCTCTTGCCACATTGACACCATTCGAGCAGTGCGCACCACCCAACCACCGTCAAACCACTCACCCATCGATCTAGCGAACAGCCAATGCGGACAGCTGACATATGTCAACAACTGTCATCAGCACTTCAAAGAGACAATATTATTCTGTTTGGCTACATACGAATGACACATATAGAAATTTATATATATGTGCGTATATGTTTTATATATTATATGATGTGATATGATAAAACTGATAATCGAGTTATCGTTGTGCCATTGATTTAAAGGTCTGACGGTTCAGGAACTTTTCATTCTGTGTGCCAAAAAGAAACGATATGACTTATATTATAATATGCGCAATATTTCTTTCTTATTAGCGATTTTAGCCTATCTATAGTCTATCTAAGCTCTATTGAGGATGATCCTTTGACTTAGTCTACATATCTTTCGTACATTCTAGTTAAATTAAAAAAAAAAAAAAACTCAGTCTAGCTCTATCTAAAATATTCAAAGTTATACATTTATATGATCTCTGAAAATTTTGGGATTATTTATAATGTGTGCCTGAATCATATTTAATGGATCCACATTTATTTTTATAGACTAATTAGATAGTTTATTGAGGCAACTGTTTTGTTCCTAGCCTGCGTTTATTACTAAACAATAAAAATGCTTAATTAAGTTGCTTAGAGCATGAGACTTATTAGAGAAGCATTTCTGTCATATCTTCCCAGATTCTTAATCAAATCTGCATACACTGACAAAAAAGTCTTGAATTATAATTATCTTATTCAATCGATGCTAACTACAGCTACTCCACCTGACCTAGTCACAAGCTATATACAGATATCATATATCATAAACCTTAGCCATTTGTTTATTATTCTTTTTTTAAATACCAAGTTTCTTTTTCTAGTTGTGGTAAACAAACTTTAAATAAAATATCATCATATAACATTAATCTGAAAATAAGACATCTACGCACTGATAAAATTGTTTAAAAAACAAGCCCAAATTTTTGTCAACAGACATACATATAAATATATACACATATATACATATATGTATGTAAGTATGTGTATATAGATACATGTATGTGTTTCTTTATATTTGTATGCAAAACATGTACAAAAAAAAAACTCAAGACAGTTTTGATTGATATGACGCACTTGGTTGAAGAGCCTACCTATCAAGCTATTTGCTCTTTAATCTAATCTTTGCTAATCTGTCCACAGAACAAAAAGTTTCTTATTGTTTACTCAGCAACAAATTTCATTTTTATACTTTTAATCATTTTAATATGAGGTGCTTAACAAACTTTGTGACTCTTATAAATAATAGAGAGCAAAATTTTGGTTCTATGGAAGACTAGATCTATCAAGATAATTTCGAAATCAATAAATAATCATAAATCGATACGCATTTCGCGCTTTGTTCTTTGTATTATATGTATTATTTATGCGATCTATATGAATTCGCTGTAAATTGATTCAAATTGAATTTACGGCTTGGTTATGGACACAATTTGAGCTGGAAAAAACTGTCATATAAATGGAAAGAAAGAGTATATAGTATATGATATTAGAGGCAAATAGTTATGCATTTGCATGCGTTGACGAATTATTTACATGCATGCAGAGGTTGCATGCAACATGCTAAACATGCCATTAAAAATGATATAGGTGTTAGCTATTTGTACACAATGCATCTAGATATATATGTGTGTGGGTGTGCATGTGTGTGTGTGTGGAAGTGAGAGTGATATAAGTTACAGTTTGTGTTAGCAATAATTAGCCGAACTTACCTGCGCACGGGTATCGCCAAATTGTCAACGCTGCGCGACAAACTGGAAACATCTTGACTAGCCCTACGTGACCTGGCACGTTTGTTTAATATAATTTTTTAAGGAGCAAACGAAACGGTGCCAAAAATTAAACGAGAAAATCATAAACAAAATCAATACACAAAACAAACAAAAAGAAGTAAAAAAAAAACTATATATGACAATAAAAAAAAAACTATTGAAATATTCAAATATATTCACATCAATATAGGTATGTCCGTACATACTATATATCTGCTATATATGTATATTTCGGTATCGCATTAAATGTATTTTGTTTAACAAACGCCAATTTCGAAATTCACACGTAACGTCCTACCTAACCCTAACTACTCCCGATCATTGTCTGATATTTATTGCTGCTCACATTATGCCCTCATCCCCAGGTGTTCGTGGAGCACGTGGCGATAATGAAGGCACGCGCTCTACTGCAGCTTTATTACTCTATAATAGTCACGTTCTGGAGCGGGGCTCTATATTCACATAGCACTATTTAGTTGGGTACTATATTAGCATTTTTCAGCTGAGCTATTTACAGGGAACTTCTGCTCTTGGAAAGATATTTCGAAATATTCTTTGCTCTTCTGCTCTTCCAATTAGTTCTTAGTAATTCTTTTTCACTTTACTCTGTGTCCTTTTCATTTCGCTTCATCTATTTTTCTTCTTTCTTGTCTTTATATTTTTTTTTTCTTTTTCTTTTACTTATTATTTTTCCTTCATCTCGCTTCTCTGTTTTCACTCTTCTTCTTCTTGAAGCATATATCCCATATTGACAGTTTTCTTTTTCTATTCCTTCATCCATGATATCCTCTGCTTCTTCGATTTCCTTTCGATATTAATATTTTGTTCTCTTTTCTACTCTTCTTCTATTT